AAGGCAAAATAGTCCATTTACATTTATGACATTTAGCAGAAGCTCTTATTCAGAATGACTTTGCTTTGTTGTCCACTCAGAGAATGTGTCTTAGTACAAATAGGTTAGACTACCCTGGAGCTCAGACGTTGCCAGACACAAAAGCCAAGCTGATACCTAGATAGACAGAGAGAAAGATACAGAGTTAAGCTTTGCGTAAGTGCAGTACAGTGCATTTAGATAAGTGCTTAGATTAGTGCTCACTTAAGTGCTTCGCTAAGAGATGGTCTTCAGTTGTTTGAAGGCCGTGAGAGAGTCTGCAGCTAGAGGTGGACAATATGATATCTTTGAGCATATTGTGGATATCATCAGTATTTAAAGGGTAATTCCACCATTTTTCCAAAATTGTACAATTCAGTTGCTTAAACAGAAACATTCAGAGTGGTTTGGTCTGAAGTGGTTTCTTGTAGAGACTCAGATGTCTTGTGTGGTGGTGATAGGAACCAGGGGTTGCCATGACTACAACACAACCATAGACATTTTATTTTCTATCCAAAACCACCTACACATGTCTGAGTTTATATAAATACTTGATGGTAAAACAGTGAAAAAGAAAGTTTTCTTTGGGAACTATTTTGCTTCACAACATCCTGCAGGTAGCCCTCCACCCTGAATAGAACATTTTAGGCCAAACCCTTCTCTCAAAACTTTCATAAAACAGTGTCTCAGATATCAGACGGTAAATTTACATGTAGTAACTTTCTGTGAGGGAGCTTTTAGAGGTGGACGTCTGGTTCCTATCACCACCACTGTGAACAGTTCTGACTCGTACGTTTCTCTAGAACAGAGCATTTCACACCAAACCACTCTGACTTGTTTACATCTTAAAGACTGAACTATGCAGAAATTTTAAAAATTGGTAGAATTCCCCTTCAAAGAAACTCACTAACTGCATGTTTCATTACAGAAAGAACATAATTAGTTCTGTTAATTTGAAATTAGTGCAGTAAATTGTGGCACGTTTAATAAAAATCATTGTACATAGTTTTTGATTTTTTTTTAAACGTGACACCACTAGTGCAAGAAATGTCTTTAAGTATTGTGATATACTGCTTTTTCCATATCGCGCACCCCCACCTGCAGCAGTATTGTCACACTGCACAGCCCTGAAGTTCTAATGTCTGTGTATTGGAGGGCTTTGAGGGTTAAAAACAGAGTAGCAAGATGTAAAATCTACAAGTTTACGTTTTTTTTTACAAGCCACTCTCTTTACCCCCCACCCCATCTCTCTATACCCCTACCACATCTCTCTTTACCCCCCACCCCATCTCTCTATACCCCTACCACATCTCTCTTTACCCCCCACCCCATCTCTCTATACCCCCAACCCCATCTCTCTATACCCCTCACCCTATCTCTCTTTACCCCCCACCCTATCTCTCTATACCACTCACCCTATCTCTCTTTACCCCCCACCCCATCTCTCTATACCCCCACCCCATCTCTCTATACCCCCCCACCCCATCTCTCTATACCCCCACCCCCTCTCTCTATACCCCCACCCCATCTCTCTTTACTCCCCACCCCATCTCTCTATACCCCTACCACATCTCTCTATACCCCCCACCCCATCTCTCTTTACCCCTACCACATCTCTCTATACCCCTCACCCCATCTCTCTTTGCCCCCCGCCCCATCTCTCTATACCCCCGCCCCATCTCTCTATACCCCCCCACCCCATCTCTCTATACCCCCACCCCCTCTCTCTATACCCCTACCCCATCTCTCTTTACCCCCACCCCATCTCTCTTTACCCCTACCACATCTCTCTATACCCCTCACCCCATCTCTCTTTGCCCCCGCCCCATCTCTCTATACCCCCCGCCCCATCTCTCTATACCCCCCACCCCCTCTCTCTATACCCCTACCCCATCTCTCTTTACCCCCACCCCCTCTCTCTATACCCCTACCACATCTCTCTTTACCCCCCACCCCATCTCTCTATACTCCTACCACATCTCTCTATACCCCTCACCCCATCTCTCTATACTCCTACCACATCTCTCTATACCCCCACCCCATCTCTCTATACTCCTACCACATCTCTCTATACCCCTCACCCCATCTCTCTATACTCCTACCACATCTCTCTATACCCCCCACCCCATCTCTCTATACTCCTACCACATCTCTCTATACCCCCACCCCATCTCTCTATACCACTCACCCTATCTCTCTTTACCCCCCACCCCATCTCTCTATACCCCTACCACATCTTTCTATACCCCCACCCCATCTCTCTATACCCCCCACCCCATCTCTCTATACCCCTCACCCCATCTCTCTTTGCCCCCCGCCCCATCTCTCTATACCCCCACCCCATCTCTCTATACCCCCCACCCCATCTCTCTATACCCCCACCCCCTCTCTCTATACCCCTACCCCATCTCTCTTTACCCCCACCCCATCTCTCTTTACCCCCACCCCCTCTCTCTATACCCCTACCCCATCTCTCTTTACCCCTACCCCATCTCTCTATACCCCTACCCCATCTCTCTTTACCCCCCACCCCATCTCTCTATACCCCTACCCCATCTCTCTTTACCCCTACCCCATCTCTCTATACCCCTACCCCATCTCTCTTTGCCCCCCGCCCCATCTCTCTATACCCCCGCCCCATCTCTCTATACCCCCCACCCCATCTCTCTATACCCCCACCCCCTCTCTCTATACCCCTACCCCATCTCTCTTTACCCCCCACCCCATCTCTCTTTACCCCCACCCCATCTCTCTATACCCCTACCCCATCTCTCTATACCCCCCACCCCCCCCTCTCTTTACCCCCCACCCCATCTCTCTATACCCCCACCCCCATCTCTCTATACCCCTCACCCCATCTCTCTATACCCCCACCCCATCTCTCTATACCCCTACCCCCTCTCTCTATACCCCCCACCCCATCTCTCTATACCCCCCACCCTATCTCCTTATCCCCCACCCCATCTCTCTATACCCCCCCCACCCCCCTCTCTCTATACCCCCCCACCCCATCTCTCTTTACCCCCCACCCCATCTCTCTATACCCCCACCCCATCTCTCTATACCCCCACCCCATCTCTCTATACCCCCCCCACCCCCTCTCTCTATACCCCCCACCCCATCTCTCTTTACCCCCCCACCCCATCTCTCTATACCCCCACCCCATCTCTCTATACCCCCACCCCATCTCTCTTTCTCAGGTTCTGAAAAGAAATGAAAGTGTGTTGAGTAAAACAGCGGATCCCCCCTCTGCAGCCATCCTGGCAGTGTATTTGGACAAGGCGGAGGCGCTTCCTGTGAGTAACACTTTGACTTCCTTTTCTCTGTGCTTGTACTGTTTTCCCTTGCTGTGTTTTGTTGCTATGTAACAATAGAATAATTCCTTCTAAACTGCTTCTCCGTGGCTGTGAAGCTCTGATAGGTAATGGCTAGATGTTTGAAAACGGACCAAATTAAACAAGGAATCAAAACAGTCTGGTTTTACTCGTTTTGCAAAGCGAGGGTGGCTGTAATTCTTCAGAAACACTTTGGAAGTTTATAGTTGTTGTTGTTTGTGTTGTTTTTGTCATTCCCAGATGAAGAAAGCCAACAAGGATCCCAGTCCAATGGTGCAGCTTTCTGTGCGCGACGTAACCCGAGAAAGCCGAGTAAGACACACATACATACACTATATGCCAAAAAGTATATAGACATGCCTTCTAATTATTGACTTCAGGTGTTTCAGCCACACAAGCACACAGCCATGCAGTCTCCATAGAAAAGCTGGCAGTAGAATGGGTCGTACTGAAGAGCTCAGTGCCTTTCTCAGTGAAATTTCTGCACTGCTAGATCTGCCCCAGTTAACTGGAAGTGCTATTCTTGTGAAATGGAGGTGTCTGGGAACGACAACAGCTCAGCCGCAAAGCGGTAGACCACTCAAAAACACAGTGTGGGGCCACCACAGTGCTGAAGTGCATAGGACATAAAGATTGCATCACTCTTCTGTTGCATCACTCACTACAGAGTTTCAAGCTGCTTTCAAAGAGCTGTGCAACAGAGCTTCATGAAATGGGTCTCCATGGTTGAGCAGCTGCACACAAGCCTAAGATCACTATGCTCAATGCCAAGCGTTGGCTGGAGTGGTGTAAAGTGCCGCCACTGGACTGTGGAGCAGTGGAAACGTGTTCTCTGGAGTGATGAATCAGCTTCTCTATCTGTCAGTCTGATGATGAATCTGGGTTTGGTGGATGTCAGGAGGACGTTACCTACTGGAATGCAGAGCCAACAGTACAGTTTGGTGGAGGAGGGATGATGGGCTGGGCTGTTTTTCAGGGTTTGAGCCCCTCAGTTCCAGTGAAGGGTGATGTTGATGCTGCAGCACAAAGACATTTTACACAATTAAATGCCTCCAGCTTTGTGTCAGCAGTTTGGGGAAGAGCCTTTCCTGTTCCAGCATGACTGAGCCCCTGTGCACAAAGCAGCTCCATAAAGGCATGGTGTGACCAGTTTGGTCAGAGGAACTCCAGTGGCCTGCACAGAGCCCTGACCTCAACCCCACTGAACACCTTTGGGATGAACTGGAATGGAGATTGCGAGCCAGGCCCTCTCGTCCTCTTGACCTCACAGACGCAAATTCCCACAGACACACCCCAAAATCCTGTGAAAAGCTTCCCAAAAGAGTGGAGGCTGTTGTAATGCCATATTAATATCCAGGCTCATATAGGTGTGATGGTCAGGTGTCCACATGCTTTTGGCCATATATTGTACATACACACGCGTATTCATCATTTGTATAAAGGTCACCAGTGCATTAATTTATCAAACGCTCCTTTGTTATTCCCAGTCATCTCTATCCTAGATAGCAGACCGTGTTGGGCCGATCCTGGCTTTCCCATGTAAGTGTTGGTTGACTACCGGGTAGATGTTAGGCATGCAGGCCAGAATAGGACCAAATCCTGGACAGCTTCATACCGTTTTGCCTTGTGTCTACATTTGTGGGACAATTCTGGTGTGGACGGACAATGTAGTTGGGCCAGATTGGGGCCAGATTTGGGCCATATACTTTAGTTCTACTCACGTTACAGTGTGTGAGCCAGATCTGGGCTGAGGACCCAGCTGTATTCTGGGCAAGAACAAACCAAGGATGTGGCCCGCAAGTGAGCCAGACAAATTGTGCTAACTGGGATATATTTCTTTTTGATTTTTACTTCACTTTTTCTCTTCCGCAGACATGCTGGGACACGGTTAATCCCCAGTGGGAAGATGCCTTCACATTCTTCATCCAAGATCCACACAAACAGGACGTTGACATCCAGGTATGGATATGTAGCTGTATTAATTGGATTTGTTTACCTTGACAAGTAGTGTAAGGTGATGGGTCCTGCCTCTTATCTACAATATGAATTTAGCCAAATGCACAGGGCAGTGTCTGTTGAAACTGGAGCAGGTTAGTGTATATACACACACCCACACACACACACACACACACACACACACACAGATGCTGAGGTTCAGATATAATATGTTCTAAGATGTACTGACTCCACACACCCCGTCTCGTCTCCAGTGTTTTATTTTACTGTTCTGTTTTAAAACATTCGGTTATGAAAAGGTACAAATATGAACTCACACACACATACACACACACACGCTGTTATACATGAAAGGTTAAAGAACGTTCTAGGTAAGGGTTCAGTATTAGTGCATCTGATATGAAATCCCTCTTTATAATCTGAGTTTTGGACACAGATTAAAAATAATCCGTGATTAAATTACACGGTCAGGGTGAACTGTCCGTTAAAAAGCCTTTTCAGGGCATTTTCGACATTTCAGAGTTGATTTAAGGAGCTCTGTGGTTATATGTCACTGAACACTGAGGTTCAGAGCTGTGTGTAAACTTTACGAACAGGCTGCACTGGTGCTAGAAAAGTTGCAGGTTCTTTAGCTCAATAAAATACCACAGCACTGAGAAAATGCTCATAATACTTTACATAATTATTGATTCCAGTTTGCATTTGTAACTATGAAGAAGAGAGAAGTGGCATATAAAAAGCTTGGATTTTAATAGTTTGTCATTCTAAGTTAAATTGTTTGACAGTGCAGGTCGAAATGTGACGAGCTGCTTGTTTTGGGTTATAGACTATTAGAGGGTTTAAATTGTTTGGCTACATTCACATTATGAGGCTGAAGTGGCATAAATCCGATTTTTTGCCGTAAGGTGACAAAGATCTGATGTTTTCAGAGCTGCGTGGACAGGGACGTTTGATCTTTTCAAATCATATCTGAGCCGCTTTCATTTGTGGTTCCAAGTCAGATACGTATGTGATTTGTTTCTGTGTGATCTCAGTGGGCCTCATTCAGTCTCAAGAGATTTCAGCCTCGCAGATTTTAGAAAACTCCATCCCTGTTTTAGGCTAATCCAAACCTCATGCAAAACTGGACAATATTGCATACGTTTGACCCACTCATCCATCACTCACATCCACACACTTGTTAAAATCTTCAGCCCCCCAAAAAGCTCAATGCTAAGGCAAAATAGCTGGACACACATCAGTGGACCAATATGAGCCTTGTTCACCAACCGTTCTTAAGAAGAGGTTTCTTCTTAAAACCCACTTGATGAAGATTCTGATTCACCAGTGTTTTCTTATTTGGGATTTGTTCTCAGGTAAGAACAGAATCTACACACACTCAAGAGCACAAAGGTGGTTTAAGAACATGTCATAAATCCGACGTAGACTTTTTCTTAGGAGCTTTTTCAAGAACACATTTAAGAAAAAGCTCAGGGAGATTTTGGTGAATGAGGCCCAGTGGGAGCACTCAGAAGTCCTGCTCGGAGCATTTTAGTGTTTGCCCTGCTCTAACACGCCTGACTTAACTCATCAGCCATTTAACGAGCCTTTCCTGAGTGACCTGGGCGTGTTTGTGTTAGAGCTGAGAAAACAGGAATCCATGCAGGACATTCAGTTTGGCAACATGAGCGCATAAAAGACATAGAAAATCGTTTCATTTCTCTTTTGTTAAAGGGAACAAGGTCAAATGTGTAATGCACTCTCAGAAATAAAGGCACTAAACTGTCACTGGGACGGTTCCCCTCTCATCACTGGGGTGGAACCCTCAAGGGTTCCTCTCAGTACCTTTAGTCAGGGAACATAACTGAACCATAATCCACTGAAATGATATGTTCTAAGCTGTACTGACTCCACACACCCCGTCTCGTCTCCAGGCTTTTATTTTATTGATCTGTTTTAAAACATTCGGTTATGAAAAGGTACAAATACAAACTCACACACACACACACACACTGTTATACATGAAAGGTTAAAGAACGTTCTAGGTAAGAGTTCAGTATTAGTGCATCTGATATGAGTCCCTCTTTATTATCTGGGTTTTGGACACAGATTAAAAATAATCCGTGATTAAATTACACAGTCAGTGTGAACTGTCCGTTAAAAAGCCTTTTCAGGGCATTTCAGAGTTGATTTAAGGAGCTCTGTGGTTATATGTCACTTTTGAATGTACACCATCTTTCTGAAGTTTGGAGTCACTAACATTTTTCTTATTTCATATACCATAACAACTTAGAAAATCTTGATTTAATAGTTTGACACAAACTGTTCACCGAAAAGTGTTTTTAGATGCTTTTATTCAATATTTCAGTAATTCTGTGAATAATATACTGTAATATACTGTAATTACCTACTTATATTACTTTTTTTTTACACACAATGTAAAGGGTAACAGGTATTTTCAAATTATATCAAAACCTGAAACATAGCAAAAATGGAGGTACAAGGTTTTGTCCTGACAGCAGCGTAATATTCTATTCTATTTATTACATGATCTCCAAAAAGGTAATTTTACAGGAGAAGGAAAAACGCTTTTAACTTTTCATCAAAGTGAATGGAGAAATATATTTTTCCAAGTAATTTTGGACCATTTCCGGTGGTCCATTCATCATGAAATATGGACACAACATAAAGGGCTACTGCCTTTTTCAAACTAGCTCAAAAAAAACAAAAATGGAAATACAAGGTTTTGTCCCGACAGCAGCGATATAGATATATAATAGATAATAATCTAAAGGTCATATACCTTTTACATCTGATCTCCACTTTTAAAATTTGATGAATTCTGGATATCAATTTTATCAAAACTTCATTACGGATGTACCCCGCCCCCCTTCTACAGCTCTGTTCATCATTCTGGACACATCGTCGAGCATCTGAAGGCTGTGAAGTTGAACAGGATGAGCAGATCAAAATCTCTTCATACATTCATCTATTATTCTATTTCCATTATTAAAAACACTGTGACTCCAGACTTTTGCACAGCAGTGTAATTCAGATAATGCAGCCCTTAAACACTGTCCTCTCTGTTTCTCTCGCTCTCTCTTACAAATGCACCACAATCTCTTTCAGGTGAAGGATAATGACCGTGTGCAGAGCCTGGGCAGCCTGTCCATCCCTCTGTCTCGTCTGCTGTCGTGTCCTCAGCTCAGCCTAAATGAGTGGTTTAATCTGGATCAGTCTGGCCCGGACAGTCGTATCCACATCAACACTGTACTCAGGGTAATGACACTGCAGCGCTGTGCACGTCACAATAACACCATGACTCATTCCTCTGCATTCCTGCATGTTTCATGATGAGCTGAATTGTGGTTTAAACATTAAACGGTACAATTAGCCGAGTGTAAGAAAGGAAAGTCTCTATCTGCTCCCAGCGTCTAGACAGAAAATGCTTTTTCCACAAATAAATTATCTTCCATGTGGAACTGAAACACCAGTGCACTGTCAACACTGTATGTAAAGCAGTCGACGCAGTGGAGTGTTTACTTTTTGCTGCTTTAAGACCTTTAAGCAGGGATGTGGGTCAACATTTTGAGTATTTAGTGCTGACATAAAATTACAGTTCTTATAAAAAGTATTAATCTCAATAAATGTAACAAGTTGTCATTTAAACTGTGAGAAAGCAGGTATCTATTTTAATTTTGTGAACTATTTACCTAATTTATTTACTCCACAGTAATTCAGATTCACCACACGGGGGCGCTATTAGCACTCAAGCAGTGTTTTTTCTTTGAGCGTCTTTGAGTGCGAGGAAACCCACACCAGCAGTAAAGCATGTATGGTTGGAATCATACATTTCAGAATGGGAAATGAAATAGTTTATTACCTTAAAGGTGAAGCTCACTGTTATTTAAAGAGGAGAGTTTTCTGCATAACTAATTGTTTAAGATGTAAACAAAGTCAGTAAATCCATAAATGTTTAGGAGAATGTTTAAGTTTTGAATATGACATTACAGCCCCAAACTGGATAACATTTGATCATTTAGTATATCTCTTTGACCTTGTTTACACCTGGCCAACTACATTTTGAGTATGAGGATTATCTGGACGAGGCCACATAAAAATGCAAGTGTAAACATTTAGAACAGATACAAATCTGATCATTCAAACCGCTTCAGGAGGTGGACTGAGACGCATTTGAACAACATGTTATAGCAGCATAAACACATCAGTCTCTCCAAAACACATTCAGCAACAAAACCCCACCCAGTACAAACGACATTCCTCTCGGCACAATCAAAACCCCTCCCAGTACAACCGAAACCCCTCCCTGTACAACCAAAACCCCTCCCAGTACAACCGAAAAACCCTCCCTGTACAACTAAAACCCCTCCCAGTATAACCGAAACCGCTACTAGTACAACCGAAACTCCTTCCAGTACAAAAAACATACCTCTCAGTACAATCAAAACCCCTCCCAGTACAAACGACATTCCTCTTAGTACAACCGAAACCCCTCCCAGTACAAATGACATACCTCTCTGTACAATCAAAACCCCTCCCAGTACAACCGAAACCCCTCCCAGTACAAACGACATTCCTCTCAGTACAATCAAAACCCCTCCCAGTACAACCGAAACTCCTCCCAGTACAAACGACATTCCTCTCGGTACAACCAAAACCCCTCCCAGTACAACCGAAACTCCTACCAGTACAAACAACATTCCTCACAGTTCAACCAACCTCCTCCCAGTACAACTGAAAACTCTCAGTACAACCAAAACCCCTCCCAGTACAACCAAAACCCCTCCCAGTACAACCAAAACTCAAGTTTTGTAGAGTATTGTGTCTCTATTTCTAGGCTGGGCATCATCTTTACCAGAACACAGTGATATTGCGTTTCAGTTTTAGGCATATTTTAGCGGCGTATTTGATACATAATCGGTACTGTTATTCCAGTCCACCATTATTTTTTACTGGAGATTTCACAAGCAGTGAGTGAGTGATTGAACGCCTGTGTCTGCAGTGGGTACACCTTAAAGTAGCTGAAGTGTAGGTGGTCTCATTTTTACATTTAGGACTGAATTCAAACACCAGTTTAATCTCTCCGCTGCCTCCTGGTGTCGTGTCTCATAGGTGCTTTGGATGGATGAACATGCCGTGGCTTCCTCCCTCCTCTCCAGTGATCCAGGCTCAGCAGCCAAGCGTGGAGCTTCACTACCCAAACACGCCAGCCCAGATCCCAGCTTCGCCACTGAGGTAAACCAAAAGTGAATTACTGGCTGCGTACCTGCACTCGCACTGACCAATCCTGACCACCAGCAGCCGGAGACCGAAGAGCAGCTTTATTTCTGAACATTCCTGATGATTTTGCTGCTTTTTCTCATTGTGCACCAGGTCATATGATTTCAAACTAAACTCTTCTTTCCTTGAGTGGCCAACTTTTTTCTCAGCTCGGCTGTCTTGGTTAAACGATTTCTGCATAATTCAGTGTTTGAGATGTAAACAGAGTCATTCAGAATGGTTCAGGTGTCTTTACAGTGGTGGTGATAGGAACCAGGGGTCGCCATGACTACAACACAAATATAGACATTTTATTTACTATCCAAATAAAAGTGAACCTACACGTCTTCTGAGTTCTGAGGGAGCTTTTAGAAGTGACGTCTGGTTCCTATCACCACCACACCAAACCACTCTGAATCGCTCTGTTTTGATAAATCATTAGAATCCCCCATTTAAAGGTAGAGCTTTAGATCCAGTCCAGGAAGCATTTAGTGACTTTGATTTCTAAAAACGTTCTCCAGGAATAAGCTTTGCATTGTGGGAACTGGTTCTAGATGTGCTGACATTCCTTCTTTACACAGAGCGCTGAGATACTGCAAGAGGCAAAATGCGTAAGAGACTTAAGGAACATAACACGACAACATTCCAGCCGCTTTTCTGACTGACTCATAAACAATTATGATACAAAAGAAATGTAACTGGATAAATTACCACAGTCTGTGCTGTGATACTGTTTGTTTGAAGTGGCATTAGTGAATGGTACTATCCCCCCCTACACACACACACACCTCACGTGGTGCTAAATGGTGCTAAATCTGACAAAAAGTGCCCTTTGGGGACTATTTTGCATCTTAACATCTTGTATCCCTCCACCATGAGTGGATTTAAAAATATGTATTTTAGGCCAAAACCTTCTCAAAACTGTCGTAAAACAATGTTTCAGGCATCAGGCAGCGTATTTAAAAGATGTGAGGGAGCTTTTAGAAGCATTAAACTCTTCAGACCATTTAATTATGCAGAAATTTTGGAAAGTTAGTGGAATTACCATTTAAATTTGACCTCAGCCCAAAAAATATTTGTGAAATGCTCAAACTTGATCAGCCTGGGATGTAAATACTCGAGCGCCACTACATAGATATTCAAAGATCTAATATATTCAAATAACAAATTTAACACGTTTAATTTTCTTCCTCCTTTTTCTCCATTCTGCCCATAGGGGGTGCTACGTATCCACCTGCTGGAGGGTCAGAATTTGGTTCCTAAGGACAACCTGATGGGGGGCATGGTGAAGGGGAAGAGCGACCCCTACGTCACCATTAATGTTGGGGGAAACACCTTTAAGAGTCTTGTGATCAAGGAGAACCTAAACCCCACCTGGAACGAGATGTACGAGGTAGGGATTCTTGGAAATGTTGGTATTATCTACATTTTTAGCTGTTTAGTGGTTGATTCATTTATTAGAGTTTTTCATATGTTCTATTTTCAGGTGGTTATGACTGATCTTCCTGGTCAAGACGTGTCATTGGAGGTGCTGGACAAAGACATGGACATGAAAGATGACTTCATGGGCAGGTACTGTACAAACACTGTGGCTTTCATATTATTTGTGACTTTGAGCTCCTTACACTGAATGTAGCTTCATGGTTTGATTATTTTTCCTGGCTAAACTTCATTGTTGTGCTTCCAGATTGAAGATTAAGCTGAGTGATATTATCAAAGCCCAGCACATTGATGAGGTGGGTTTATGATTTATAATTGCATTTACCTCTAAGATACAAGTGTTGAGTAATTCACCAAGAAAATGTTGGAAATCTTGCATAATTATTAACCCTCTGGGGTCGACGAACGTGCTGGCACATCAAATTAGATGTTTCTTGGTGTTTCTATTAATGTTTTTGTGATAATCCAGCACAGAAATCCAGTTAAAACACTTCCTGAATCTGTAGAGTCGCCCTTTCCATTCCATCTTATCATGAGATCATACGAGACTCACATCCGGAGTTATGAGCCTATGAAGAAGGGCTGAGATACACGTCATGTGCCTCTCACCATGTGGAGCTGGTGGATTTGTGTGTCCGTCTACATTCTGTGTGAAACTGACCAATGGACACTCAGGAAATCACCAAGGACTGACCATCACGCCGGAAACCCTTCATTTTTTGTTCAAACAATTCGTCCACATGAGTAAATCTGTGTTTTTACGAGCGATATTAAGATTTTCTAAAAATGAATTTCATTTTTTCAGCTTTTGGGCCCAATTATCTCTTCACGCAGAGCCCCAGGTCAAAAGGTCAAAAGAGCTGAGATTGTCCTGAACATTTTTATGTATAATATATGAGTATCATGTCGTATGTAAGAGCCTCTAAAGGCGAATTTAAGAATGTATGCAAAAATCACAAAAATGCCTCCAGACCCCAGAGGGTTAATTCATCATTTCTACCCCAAAAGGTAAAAAGCCAAACCATGAGTCAGAATTCAAATAGAAACTGTGAAATTTAATAGAATATTCTCTCCATCTCAGTGGTTCACTCTGAATGATGTGAAACGTGGTCGTATTCATCTGGCTCTGGAGTGGCTGCCCAGAGTAACACAGTCGGACAAACTGCAGCAGGTAAGTGGACCCGCCTACTTCTCTGCACATAAACTCCAAAGGCCAATTCTCACTGGACACATTTCTGAAATCTTTTTTTAGATGTCCTTCTGACTGAACAGATACGCTTTCACTTTCATTTTCACAGGATGAGTGTGTTATATCCTTTAAACACTGGCCGTTTTGTCGTGTTGCATTTTTACACTTCGAGTCTATTCTTTTTCCGCTTGCGCTTTTAAGTGAAGCATAAACTCCATAGAAGTACAGATAAATGTCGCACTCCCACTTTCAAAGCATTCTAATCTGTACATAATATAGTATCTTAGTGAAATGTGGAATTGAGACAGTAAGAGCTTTTGAAAAGCTAACAAATCAGGACAGAATTATGCATAAATGTCACTTTTATCACAGTTTGAAACAGCAGGTATTTTACAGTTACATATTAGCAGCAGAGGTGCGCAACAAAGCCTTTTTTAACACTGAATCTGAATTTTACAGAAACAAAAAAAAACTTAGTCACAGCTGCCAACCAGAAAATCCGCTTAGGAGCAACAACAGGAATTTGGCTACGTTCACATTACCAGGTTGAAGCGGCACAAATCCGATTTTTTTGCCCTAATGTGACTCAGATCTGATGTTTTCAGGGCTGTGTGGACACACAAATCTGATCTTTTCAAATCCGACCATATGTGGTCCTAGATCGGATATGTATCCGATTCGTGGTCATGTGACCTTAATGTGACACTCAGATTGGAATTCATGTGCTTTTTTTCTACTGCGCGTGGCCATCATTCAGCGTTACCATGGCAACAGCGCTGAACAGAAGTTAAAGCCTGTAAACGGTGGAAAAGCAGCTCATCTCACCTTTTTCTCCTTCGTCTCGCTCTAATAATGAAGCTGAGAGCTGATCAGAGTTAATTATCTTCACAGCGAAGCTCGTTCTGCTCGTTCAGGCTTGTGATGTGAACGTAGCCTTTGATGCAATCCTGCTTCCACTCTCTTCGACCAAAGGAGCTGCAGCTGAAATATTATCTTACAGAAGTCATCTAATGTGTCTTTTTTGTGTTTTTGTATGGGCTAACTGTTAGCTGCAGAGCAAAGAGAGTCATTACTCAGCAGTTTGATTGTGAAAAAATGTTGTGCTGTTATTTGTGGTAGAACAGCTCTTAACCAATCAGATTATGCCTTTTTGACAAGTTGTTTTATTCCGTATTGTTAATGTATTTATGCATTATGAGTGATGGTACTTGGCCAATAAAGTGATTCTGATTCTGATATACTAAAATGTTATTGCAGGTGCTGCTTTACCAGGCTAAGAGCTCGTACCTGAACAAGGCGGTGCCTGCTGCAGCTCTGCTCTTCGTGTATTTGGAGGCTGCACATGATCTCCCTGTGAGTACATCGCTGTATCTCCTTCAGCATGGCTGCTGGATCTGCCTCGTCCTGACTGTTGATTTTTATGGCTAATTCTTGAACTTAACAGGAGTCTGAAATGGTATCCATACACTGTATGTCCAAAAGTTTGCAGACAGCAGCGTTTCTTCAAAAATGAAGGTCATTAATATTGAGATTGTGCTGCAGTAACAGCCTCTACTCTTCTGGAAAGGCTTCTAGATGTTGGAACATTGCTGTGAGGATTTGATTGAACATAAGTGAGGTCAGGGACTGATGTTGGATGGTCGGTTCTGGATCACTCCAGCTAATCCCAAATGTATTGGAGCTCCATCACTCCAGAGAACACAGTTCCACTGCTCCACAGCCCAATGCTGGGGGGCTTTATATCCCTCTAGCCCATGCTTGGCATTGGACATGGTGACCTCAGGCTCATGTGTGGCTTCTCCAGAGCGTCCCAATCTATTGGTCAGTGCTTTTCTGTGGAGATTATACAATTGAACCCCTGTATCAGCAATGGGTGACCCTAAAGTAGCTGTATTCACTCAATAGAAGGTTGTCTGGATGCTTTTGGACATACAGTGTATTTTTCTGGCCACAGTGTTATTAGGTTTGTTAAGTGTGTGTGTGTGTGTGTGTGTGTGTGTGTGTGTGTGTGTGCAGTTGAAGAAGAGTGGGAAGGAGCCTAAAGTTGGTGCTGAACTTGTTCTAGGAGGGACTAGTTACAAAACGACGGTAAGAGAGCCCCCCTTTTACACCCACAATTCATTAAATAAGTACTGTTACTACCTCCTTTGTACAAATGTTTATGATATATTACACATTATAGGTGCACTGATATGCAGGCCTATTCTGTTGTACACATCTGCCGATACAAAAACATTAATAAAATGTAGAAATTGGTACTTAATCCACCTGGATTTAAATTCGTAAAGGAAAATGATTTGCCTATTTAAATAACATGAATCAAATTTAGAGCTACATTGAAAGTAAGAGCTGTTTATTACAATGAGTTGTGCATTTATGCTGTTATATTTTGGTGCAGGTGTCACAGCATTTAAATACAGCATTTAATTTACCTCATAAAACTGTAACATAGATCAGATAAAATCAAGATAATATATTGGCTGATTACCAGCTGCATGTTTGGACTAAAAATCAGACCAATGCCAATCATGCGTCCCTAGTGCTTTTGCTACAGAGTGATTACAGTTTATCAGAATTATTTTGTAAATACAACACAAACTACAACACAAATATAGCCATTTTATTTACTATCCAGAACCACCAGTGAACCTACACGAGTCTTCTGAGTTTATATGGAATGTTGATGATGGAAAAATAGTGATAAATCTGAAAAAGGTGCTCTTTGGGGATTGTTTTGCATCTTAATTCAAGGTGTGTGCAACTCCGCCATGAATGCATGTTATGTCAATGTTAAGTGATGTTAAGTGTTTCAGGCATCAGGCATCATATTTATTACCATTCCACACCTGGGAAGGAGCTTTAAGAAGCATTAAACTCTTCAGACCATTTAATTATGCAGACCTTTTGGAAATTTAGTGGAATTAATTTTATATTTGACCTCAACCCCTGAAATACAGGGTGATTCGAAAAGATTCATCTGATTTCAAAATGATTGATTTCGCTTGTAAATCATTACAGAATGATGCAGTGAACTGTAAATGGTTTAAATGAGCATAAAGTTTATTATGTAATTTTACAAGGTCTCAGTCTGAACCTCCTCCAGCTGTACAGACAACATCAACGCCATAGTCAAATTCATCCCATACTGGATTGAGCATGTCGGGTGTCGCTGCACTCACGGCTCTTTCAGTGCGATTTAAGGGAACGTCCAGTGTTGTTCGGAGAGGCACATAAACAGAATCCTTAACGTTTCCCCACAAAACAAAGTCACACCGTGTGAGATCTGGTGATGCTGGTGACCTTGGAACTGTTGGCACCAGCTACAAATGCTCTGAGCTCTTGGAGGTTCACTGCCAGACTGACTGTCGGAAACTCTACGACTCCCTCTTACGGTTGGATTGTGATTGGTTCCTAGGCGCCTCACGGTTGTAAGAATATGTCGCTTTGAAATCGGATGAATCTTTTTGAATCACCCTCTATTTGTGAAATGCCTGAACGTGCATTTTCCATTAAATGTAATTATTTAACAAACCTTCATGTTTATAAGGATTTCTGTGAACTTTACGACTCTTTTCCACTTAAAGGTTTGTGATCGTACCAGCTCGCCACAGTGGAATGAGGCTTTCCACTTCCTGGTGCGTGACCCCAAAAAGCAGGAGCTTATAGTGAAGGTATGAGAATAGCCGATCTAAGTGACCGGAGTGTGTTATGTCCTGTTTTACACTGGTCGTTTTAAAAGTTGATGTCCGGTGCTGCCTTTCCCTCTCTAGCTGTCCCACTGCTGGGATTTCCCTCTGGGCTCTGTGGTGATTCCAGTGAAAGAGCTGCTCTCTCAGCCAGATCTGCTGCTGGACCAGTGGCTCAATCTGGATGGAGCTTCTCCTGAGAGTCAGGTTCTGCTGAGAGCTCAGCTTAAGGTATAACTCTGAGCGCACACTCTTAAATTAAAACACATTTTAAAAGGACTTTCGTAGTTGATCAGAATTATTACTGTCATTCTGATGTGACAGATTATGTGAGGGTTCATTTGCAGTGTGGTTCCTATAAGAGCAAAGTTAAGGAAAGTAAAGCAAACTAAGTTAACAGACAGCACTGAAAAGTAAAACTAATCGATTTGGGGAAAACATTCAATTGCGATTATTCTGACCAGTGTTGCGATTGCGCATTTAAATGCACTTATTTTCTCCTAAATAATTTTCAGGCCTATTTTTTTGGCCAAGAAGACCAGATAATCCACTTCTTTATGGCTTGAGATCTGAACGCGGAGTGTGCTAGGCTGTTTGCTGTGCCGTTTATTTGTGGTTGTGATATCACATCCACAGCACATAGCGCTTTTGGAAGAAAACCTCGTATCTCCGTTTTTGATGTTTTTCAGTTTTTGACATAATTTGAAAATGCCTGTTACTCTTTACATTGTATGTAAATTTCATGATGAAAGAACCAAAAAAAATGGCCCAAAATGACTTGGAAAAAAGTCTGGTTCCATTGACTTACATTAAAAGTAAAGTAGGTTTTTTCCTTCTCCTGTAAAGTTACCATTTTGGAGATACGAGGTTTTGTTCCGACAACAGCGATAGGTTGGTTCTGACTGGTTTAACTCATCTGCAGGCAGGTCGCAAACTCTGTGTTACTGAGTTAAAATTCCTCATTGAAAACTTAGGCAGCATTGTTTATGATGTGTTCTGTAACAGAAACTGAAGCTCTTGTAATTTGGAAATTGCACTTATTGAAATTGCAATTTTAAGATGAAAACAATCTTCCAGCCCTACTAGATAGACATTATATTAGATAGATTTTATTGGGTCAGGATGAGTCATTGTTTACTTTCCAGTCCAGTTCTGGACGGATCTTCAGCCTGTTTGAATTTTACGACTGAAGACGTGTGTGAGTCAGCGTGGGATAAGTAACCGAACGAGTGATTCAGGCAACAGACGTCCGGAGAGGCCATGAGCTGTTACTAGAATGTTCTGGATTGTTATCTTGAGATTATGACTTAATTATGTTGTGATCTCAAGATAAGAACTTTGTTTTTTTGAGATCACAGGATAATGAACTCGTTATCTCCGGAAAACAACTGTGTTATCTTGAGATCACAAGATATTCAACTCATTATTTTAAGATAACAACTTTATCTTGCGACAACAAGATAGTTAACTAGTTATTTCACAATAACATCTTTGTTATCTCAAGAACAAGTATAATTAACTTATTTCATCATAAACACTTTGTTATATTGGGATAACAAGACGGTTAACCCGTTAACTCAAGACAACAACTTTATCTTGAGATCACAAGATAATTAACTCATTATTTTAAGATAATAACTTTATCTTGAGACAACAAGATGGTTACCTCGTTATTTTAAAATAACATCTTTGTTATATCAAGAAAAAAGGAAAGTTAACTTGTTATTTAATTATAAAAACTTTGTTATGTTGGGAAAACAAGACAGTTAACCCGTTACCTCAAGACAACAACTTTATCTTGAGATCAGAAGATAATGAACTCGAAGATAACAACTTTGTTGTCTTTATCACAAGATATCAACTCGAAGATAACAACTTTATCTTGAAACAACAAGATAGTTAACTTGTTATTTCAAGATAACATCTTTGTTATCTCGAGATAAAAGGATAATTAACTCATTATAACATTTCATTATAACAACTTTGTTTATTTTGAGATAACAGGACAGTTAACTCGTTAACTCAAGACAACTTTATCTTGAGATCACAAGATAATGAACTGGTTATCTCAAGATAACAGTCCAGAAAATTATAATTACCTCATGGCCTCTCCGGGCTTTCATGAAAGGGTGAGTGGTGATGGATGAGTGTCAAGCTGATTGTGGGAACACTGGAAAACTGCTGTAGAGAGTGCTGCTATAACTTTAGTGCATTAATAGCCTGAACTCACTTTTAGGGCTGGGAAATATGACAATATTTATCAATATTGTGTCACAGTATACTTTTCTGAGCATATTGCCGGTACTTAATTGCAAAGAGAGCACAGTTAGTCTCTTGTTATTGGATTTAGTGCAGGACAGAATGCAAAATATTGAAAATTGTTAGTAGTATTGGTAGTATTTTTTAAATGTGGTACTCTTTTGTCTTTACCGATTCATCAGATGTCAGAAAAAATATAGTTTTCGTTGAAACTTGAAGCTCTCATATTACATTTTATTCCTTATCGCTCATCTTTACTCACTTTACAGTTTCGGTTGCCAGATTGTGTAGTTTGCATCCAGCTTAAGTAGACAAAGCCCTGAAATGCTTGTTGTTTTACTGCTTATTCCAACCTGGTGAGGTTTGTAGTGTACAAACTGTTGTATATTGTGTATTGGTTTGTCTTTGAGGTCTTTATGTGTATTAGTGTTAAATGTGTCGTGTCGTTTGTGTAGATTCTGTGCCCTAAAGTGACGGAGAGTTTCAAAGAGCACTCAGAGACGCCTGCTTTACCCAAGACCTCCATCAGAGAGAGCAAACCGGAGGCGGAGTCCGTTCAGAAGTGAGAAAGAATACAAAAGCACCTCACATGGAGATGCACAAACACTCAGACAGACTCCTGATTTGTATTCGTTTTTTATTGTAATGTTCTTTAATGAAATTTTACATGTATTTTGGCACATAAAATACAGTGCAAAAGTTTGAAATCACACATATTAATATTTGCTGTTATTGTATTTGATAATAACTTATAGAGTGTAGATTGAGATTGTATCAGCTGGCCACCGGAAGGCACTTTAAGATGCTTCATTCAGTGTTTCATTTTAGGGGGAACACAAAGAAATTATTGAATAATCAGTAATATTCTGTTATTATTTACAACCCCATTTCCAAAATAGTTGGGATGCTGTGCAAAATGTAAATAAAAACAAAATGCAATGATGTGCAAATCATTTTAACCCTATATTTAATTGAAAACAGTACAAAGACAACATGTCAGATGTTGAAACTGAGAAATTTTATTGCTTTTTGAAAAGTATTTGCTCATTTTGAATTTGATGCCAACAATACGTTCCAAAAAAGTTGTGATGGGGGAACAAAAGGCTGATAAAGTTGTAATGCTTAAAAAACACTTGGTAGTTAATTGGCAACAGGTCAGTAACATGATTGGGTATAAAAAGAGCATCTCAGAGAGGCGGAGTCTTTCAGAAGTAAAGATAAGGAGGGGTTCACCACTCTGTGAAAGACTGCATGATCAAATAGTGCAACAATTCAAGAAAAACGTTTCTCAACATAAAATAGCAAAGAACTTCTGCTTTTCATCATCTACGGTACAGAATATCATTAAAGGATTCAGAGAATCTGGAGAAATCTCTGTATGTGAGGGTCAAGGCCAAAAACCAGTATTTGCTGGCTGTGATCTTTGGGCCCTCAGGCAGCACTGCATTAAAAACAGACATGGTTCTGTAGAGGAAATCACTGCATGGCCTCAGAAACACTTCTGAAAACCACTGTCTGTGAAAACAGCTCATCACTGCATCCACAAATGCAAGTTAAAACTCTAAAATGCAAAGAAGAAACCAAATATAAACAGGATCCAGAAACGCTGCCACCTTCTCTGGGCCTGAGCTCATTTCACATGGACTAAGCAGCTGAAATCCTACATCAAGTAAGAACGGGAAAACATTTCACTTTCTAAACTACAGCAGTGTCTCCTCAGTTCCCAAACGCTTAAACAGTGCTGTTAAAAGAAGAGGTGATGAAACACAGTGGTAAACAGGCCCCCGTCCCAACTTTTTTGGAACGTGTTGTTGGCATCAAAATCAAAATGGGCAAATATTTTTCAAAAAACAATCAAATTTCTCAGTTTCAACATGTGATTTGTTGTCTTTGTAGCATTTTTCTTTAAAAATGTGTTTTACATGATTTGCACATCATTGCATCCTATTTTTATTTACATTCTGCACAGCGTCGCAACTTTTTTTGAAATGGGTTGTATTAATATTTGCATTTTTTTTATTCAATAATAACTTATAGAGTGTAGATTGAAATTGTATCAGCTATTCATCCGAAGGTACTTTAAGATGCTTCATTCAATGTTTAATTTTTTTATGGGGAGAAGCACAAAGAAATTATTGAAGAATCAGTAATATACTGTTATTATTTATTTGCATTAATTTCTTGGTAAGTTAACTTGCCTCAAGATTTGATCACCACTTTCCAAATATGATGCATTCTGCATGGTCGTTTTTATTATAAGTTAAAACCCCTTAACAAGCCAGGGCCCCCCCAGCGGGCCCGAAGTTTTATTACACATTTCTATAACCTATGAATAGCCATTCATTATATAACCATTAGTTTGTCTTGAAGTCTCTGTAGTTACTAAATAATAAGCCTCTGTATGAAGTAAACCTGGAATGTTAAGAGGTTAATTCTCAATGTTCCTAGTACGAGCTCTTTGGGCTTTTTGTACTTTCCTTGCACTCTTTTGTTTTATTTTTTGTTTTTGTATCCTCACTGTGTTCGGTGATTTGAAGGTTGTGCATAATAAAAAAATAAATAAATAAACAAATGTTCCACAGCTTCTCAGTCATTTTAGAATCTTCTCCAGCTGTGTTTAACATTCTGGATACATTTAACATTTATTCATTTTTATTTAGAGCATCATAATAGAAGCACTACATGTTTCCACAACAGGGAATCCACATTTTTGAACAGTGGTGTTTGTTATCTGAATTTGTTTGAACACAAATCTGAAGAAAATTTAAATCAATCCCTGAATTTGATCACTTTTCATATTAAATTTAGTCACGTTGAACTGCTGATTTAACCAAATAATGCAAAATCCAAATCGGATATCTAATAAAAGTATAAAAATCACATATAATCAACTGTATAAACTGATGACTTTTCAGTGGTTCTTTAGTACAGAAAATGGTTCTATATAGCACCATGAACACTCAAAGAACCCTTTGCATGATTAACGGGTTCTTTGCATCGTGAAAGCTTCTTTAGATTGATGTAGATGGTTCTATATAACACCAAAAAGGGTTCTTTTATTGTAACAAGCCTGACATCGTAACAATGGAAGAACCCTTTTTGGTGCTATATAGAACCATTTTTAAAAAGGTGTTACATAGAACCATCTACAACACATTCTCCATCAATCTGAAGAACGCTTTCACAATGCAAAGAACCCGTTAATCATGCAAATGGTTCTTTGAGTGTTCATGGTTCTATATAGAACCATTTTCTTTACTAAAGAACCCTTGAAGAACCATAATTTCATGCTGTTAGATGTTTATCCATGTAACTGTACAACATTTGACACAATCAGAACACGTTCTATAGCTTTTTTCCTCATCATACTGAACTGAGTTGAACAGTTAAATCGTAATTATGCATTAATATTGTCAGTGTTGACACAACCAAATGTTGTATGTGTGTTTCTAAGGTCTAGTGAACCGCTGGTTCCAGTCACTATCACCTCCTCTGTAACTGCTCCTGAGGAGAAGGAGAGCAGGAAGGTGCCAGAAGCTCCAAAAACTCCAGAAACTCCAAAACCTCTTGAAACTCCAAAAGCCCCAGAAACTCCAAAAGCTCCTGAAGCTCCAAAAGCTCCAGAGGTCATCAGTCAAGCTGACGTTCTACCCCAGCACACCAGCCCAGATCCCAGCTTCAGCACTGAGGTGAGGAAAAATGACGGGTTGAGCTGACAGCAGCTGGCCTTCCACACACTTTAATGAATATTTTGACTTAATCCTTGTGTGGTGTTGAGGTGTTTGTTACTCAGTGGTCTGCTGGACCCACTGCAGTATTGTTTTTTTTTAAATACAGTCATAACAATTTATGTAAAAGTACCAGATGTTTTAAATATCACAAGTGTCCAGTGTAGGGTTCTCCTTTAGCAGCTGTAGCCAGTCAGCAGCCTGTCCATGTTGTCCACACACACACACACACACACATACACACGCATACAAACACATATACACACACACTAACAGCAGGCCATGTAGGAGGAGAACAGAGTGAAGGACACAGCACCTCCACACTTTTACTCCCCGCAGGTTCACCCAACACCACATGTGTAATATAAATGTGTGGGGGGTGAACAGAGTGAAGACACTGAAAATGGGTTATTTTATATGTTCTTCACTGAAAATGAGCAAAGGCCAAGAATCTGAGGCTGAAATAGTAATAAATCATCATTTTTGTATATTTGTAAACATTAAAAATGGGTCCCACAGACCTGAACACCACACACGGGTTAAAGAGTTAAGAGCTTCTGTTTGACGACTTCTGTGCAGGGTTTGTCCCCTAGGTGGATGATGTGATGATATTAGAATGTTATCTGATGATATTTCATTATAATGATAAATTATGTCATGATAAGCTTTTCTTAACATTTTACATAGCAAATACTACAGGTACTTAATTGATGCTTACACCAGATCAGGCATAACATTCTGACCACCTCCTTGTTTCTACGCTCATTGTCCATTTTATCAGCTCCACTTACTATATAGGTGCACTTTGTAGTTCTACAGTTACAGACTGTAGTCCATCTGTTTCTCTGATACTTTGTTAGCCCCCTTTTACCCTGTTCTTCAGTAAACTGGTTAGCTACGTTAGCCTCGTAGCTCCAGGACAGAACTGAAGAAGCAAACTTCAGACACCAAACACATCTTTACCAGTCAACTACATTTAAGGGACGGGGGCAAAGTATGAGAATTTGATATTTCACTGAACCGTTCCTTTATTTTTTCCCCTTCTTTGCCTGTAGGGGGTGCTGCGGATCCACCTGCTGGAAGCTGAGAATTTAATTGCCAAAGACAACCTGATGGGGGGCATGGTGAAGGGGAAGAGTGACCCCTACGTGAAGATCAACGTTGAGGGAACCACCTTTAAGAGTCACGTGATCAAGGAGAACCTGAACCCCACCTGGAACGAGATGTACGAGGTAAGCAGACTCATCCTGAACAGGACATTTAGCTGAAACAGAATGTTTTAATGCCGAACGGTGTATTAATGTTCCTGTTGTTCTTTACAGCTGGTTCTGGCCTCTAAGCCTTCTTCAGAGGTTAATGTAGAGCTCTTTGATAAGGACATTGATAAAGACGACTTTTTGGGGAGGTAGGTACACAAAAGTGCCCGAGTCACGAAAAAAATCTTTTTTTAATTAAAGTTTTGTTAAAGTTTGAAAAGTAAATTTACTTTCCAGTCAATATTGTCTATTTATACAACTGTTCCGGCCACGCAAGCTGATTGGTTGAGAAGCGCTCTAATGAAGAAATAACAGAACGGCTTTTTCACAAACGCTGTATCACTACGCCGAGATGCCGTTGCTAAGCAACAACGTTGACAGCTGTAGGAGACGCTCAAGGCATTTAAACGTTTTATTCTTACTTTGCCACAAACAGAAAATGGACACTTTTAAGATCACATTTGACCGACAGCCGATTTGGTCAGACTCTGAAGATGAGACGACACTAAATTCCCAAACTGTCATCACCACTGAGCAGCTTTTCAGTCGGCAGCTGAGACAGAAGAACAGCTAAACAACCTGGAATCAGCCAGAAATGAACCCAACACCATTCGCCAAACTAAACGGGCTGTAAGATGCTTTACAGACTGGCTGGAACAAAACAACATTAATACTGATCTGGCAAAAACTGACAAAACTGAGCTGAACTTGATATTGCGGCAGTTTTATGGCTCAGTCTGATTTGGTCAGACTCTGAAGATCAGACTACACGTTTGACGAATGGTATTGGGTTCATTTCTGGCTGATTCCAGGTTGTTCAGCTGTTCTTCTGTCTCAGCTGCCGACTGAAAAGCTGCTCAGTGGTGATGACAGTTTGGGAATTTAGTGTAAGGAGCTGGAGAACGAACTGCCGGCTGAGCAGCGAGTGGGCGGAGCTCGTTACTCTGACATAGCAACAAGCTGCTCGTTAAGGAACTATAATTTGGTGAAGGAACTGCGAACATTAAAACATATTAAACGCCGCGTTCACGGCCCAGTTTATTAATTTATTACTTTATTTATTTACCTGTTGTATTAAAGCAACAGAACACTCGAGGAGTGTGTTATCGCCAATAACATCACGGCTGTGATGATCTACGGCGACCAAATCACAGCCGTGATGTTATTTTGCGATAACACACTCCCTCTCAGGTTCTACTGCTTAAATAGGAAAGCTGGGCTGCAAGAAAACCTGTTTTGAATTAATTGTTTTATGATGTCACAAACAAAAAAATGCATTTATATATATATCTGCCTATTCAGGCTACAGCAGTTTAGCTCCAGTTCACTCTGAGGTTATAAGAAGTGTTTCAGCCTGGGCTGCTTTTTGAATGAGACACAAAATACGACAGCCAATCAGAACAGAGCTCATTTACATATATCGGTCTTGAAGGCACAGTAACAAAAACAGCCTGTTTACACTAAAAAAGGGCACCACAAAGGGCTCTTTGAACGATGCCATTGAAGAACCCACATTTTAAAAAATAAATTTCTGAGTTAAGTTTTTAAAGAACCTTTTTCCAAACCAATAGAACGTTTGCATTGTATTGAGTTTCTATAAACTGTAAAACGTTTCTTTACACTCACATCTCGTTTACAGAAATGGTTTTCTAAAGAATCATCCATGGACGATTCTTTAGCTGTTATTCTGTGGCATTGTGAAAAAACACTTCTGTATTTTTAAAAGTCTAATTATAAGAGATAATGAGAGATTGGTCATCTGAAAAATGGACAAATTGAATGAATGGGTAGTGAAAACATGCAAAAAATAATATTAGCATAATGTTCCTGTGTCTGCTGGATTATTTTGGGGTATGTCATGATTTTTTTGTTTAAATTTCATTAAAAAGCTTTTGAAAGATAAATTTTACATGGTTTTGTGAAGGTAAAAGTCAGTCCGTTTGAATTTGTGCTTTTCCTTTACCAGGTTTCGCGTCAGCCTGAGTGAAGTCGTTCAGGCTCAGTACATTGACCAGGTCAGTGTGAAACATTACTCTTTCATTCCTTGTTGAACCTGTGATGATGATGTCATGTTGTAGCGAGTTCCGTCTTTTCTAGCACAACCTAAGAAAAGTTTAGGTGACACTTTATTTTGAGTCCTTTTAGCTGAAACAAACACTCAAAGGACTTTCGGTAACATGTCAAATACATGGGGGTTAGGATTAGGATTAGGGCCAGGGTGAGGGTTAGGATTAGGTTTTGGGTTGAGGTTAGGGTTAGGATTAGGATTAGGATTAGGGCCAGGGTGAGGGTTAGGATTAGGTTTAGGGTTGAGGTTAAGGTTAGGATTAGGATTAGGGCCAGGGTGAGGGTTAGGATTAGGTTTTGTGTTGAGGTTAAGGTTAGAATTAGGATTAGGGCCAGGATGAGGGTTAGGATTAGGTTTTGGGTTGAGGTTAAGGTTAGGATTAGGATTAGGGCCAGGATGAGGGTTAGGATTAGGTGTAGGGTTGAGGTTAAGGTTAGGGTTAGGATTAGGGCCAGGGTGAGGGTTAGGATTAGGTTTTGTGTGGAGGTTAAGGTTAGAATTAGGATTAGGGCCAGGATGAGGGTTAGGATTAGGTTTTGGGTTGAGGTTAAGGTTAGGGTTAGGATTAGGGCTATGGTGAGGGTTAGGATTAGGTTTTGTGTTGAGGTTAAGGTTAGAATTAGGATTAGGGCCAGGATGAGGGTTAGGATTAGGTGTAGGGTTGAGGTTAAGGTTAGGGTTAGGATTAGGACTAGGGTGAGGGTTAGGATTAGGTTTTGGGTTGAGGTTAAGGTTAGGATTAGGGCCAGGATGAGGGTTAGGATTAGGTTGTGGGTTGAAGTTAAGGTTAGGGTTAGGATTAGGGCCAGGATGAGGGTTAGGATTAGGTTTTGGGTTGTACTGCACTGTCCGATCCAGAATCTACATCACATTTTCTGAAGCTTTTGTAAAACAGGTGACACATTTTCACAAGTGACCACATTTTAACAGCATTTTCATGAGGCCAGGAAAGAAAAATCATTTTGATCCAGTTTTTAGAATGTGACTCCTTTAAGAGCTGCATTGTTTTTGCTTCTGTGTCTCTTTCTCAGTGGTTTACTCTGAATGATGTGAAACATGGTCGTCTTCACCTGGTTCTGGAGTGGGTGCCCACAGTAACTCAGCCTGATAAGCTGCAACATGTATGTACTGTCCAAATATATTTATATCTCAAAACATACTATTAACACAAATGATTGCATTAAACTTTTGAGCTTTTTTGTTTTCTCAGGCTTTGCAGTTAAAGTCCATTCAGTCCTACCAGAATAAAGCTTCTCCCTCTGCAGCTCTGCTGTTCATCCTGGTTGAGAGAGCTCATGCGCTACCAGTGAGTAACAGACAGAGACACTACAGCCAATCAGAAATGCTCCCTGCATCATGCAGTGTTATGGGCAGATCTACAGTAATGCCACATGGTTTAATGTACACTATATATCCAAAATCTCCAGACACCCCATATAATTACACAAGTCAGCTTCAGCACAGCAACCACTCATAAGAGGTCACCATGCCCAAAGCCAAGTGTGGGCAAGAGGGGTATAAAGCCCCCCAGCATTGGGCTTTGTGGGCAGTGGAACTGTGTTCTCTGGAGTGATGGAGCTCCATCCAATACCTTTGGGATGAGTTGGAGTGATCCAGAACTAGGGTCTGATATAAAAAAGATTAATCATTTTTATATCAAAATCATAATTTAACAGAGTGCAATTCTCAAATCACAAGAGCTGCAGTTTTTTAAATTATAGACTACATTACAAAAAACAATGTCTTAGTTGTTAAGAGGGGAAATTTAACCTAATGACACAGAGCTTCTGAACTGTAGACCAGTCAGAGGCAACCAGACCTGCATGTGTTGTGACATCACAACCACAACTACATTCAGGGGTCAAGCCTCAAACCAGAAAAAGTGGATATTCTGGCCTTCCTTGCCCAAAAAAACAGGCCTGAACCTTAATTTATAGAAAATTATCACAATTTAAATTGTAGTTGTAATATTAGTCAGAAAAATTGCGATTAGATATGTTCCCCAAACCGTTCAGCCCTATCCAGAACTGATCATCCAACACCAGTACTTACATTTATAGCAATTGGCAGACGCTTATATCTAGAGCGACTCACAACTGTTTGACCATTTTTACACAGGTAGGTGAAGGGAGTGTTAGGAGTCTTGCCCAAGGACTCTTATTGGAATAGTGTAGTGTGTTTACCCAGGTGGGGACTCCAGTCTACAGCGTAGAAGGCTGAGGTGTTACCCATTGCACTATACCAACCTACTTGACCTCACAAATGCTCTTGTGAATGCTAAATGCAGTCAAATCCACACAGCAATGTTCCAGCATCTGGTGTAAAGCCTTCCAAGAAGAGTAGAGGCGGTTACTGTTACTTTAACTGTCTGTTAAACGAACAGTTGTTCAGCAGAAAGTCGACACAATTTCCCACTTATACGAGATGTAGAGATGACGTGATTGATGGCTTCTGCAGTTTAGCGCTGGAGCTACAGGGCTAACGTTGCTAACAGCATTTGTGTTGTGTAAAATGTCCTGAACGCAGCGTCCAGCTACACAGTGACGTTGTACTCGTTTTTATAGATCGCGGTAATTCATACTGCGTCCTTAAGAACATGAACAAGCCTGCACCACCTTAACGAAGACCTGAATGTGGTTTGACCAAATGGACACCAAATGTCTTGGCCGACCAAAATTTTTATGTGATTTGTCGCCAAATCACTCCTTTAGTAGTCTTAATTTCAGAAGAAATGCTGGATGAGCAGATGTCTACAAACTTTTAGACATTTAATGTACCTTTATGGTGTCTTACTATATAGTGACAACACAAATGTTAAGAAAATCCATTTTCTCCTTTCAACAGAAATCAAACCCACAACATTTTATATCCATTTTACCATCTTGGCTGTAAATATGTCTCAGTATGTGCTGTTGTGCTAGTATAGACTAAAATATAAACAAAAACACAGACTTACTTTGCTCTGTTTTAAGCTTTAGTTCAGCTATAACTGCTTTTCTTGCATCTCCAGCAGGAAACTTTTCCACAAAAGTAGAACAGCTTCTTGTAAAATGTCTCTTAACATTCGTTTTTTACGAGGCTGAAGTCGCTTCTCATTCGCCAGCTTCTTGTTCGAATTTTCCCGTTTCACCTTAAATGGTGCATCTGAGGCACCAGAACGTAACTGCTGCACCATTTAAGGTGGAACGAAGAAGAAGAAGAAGAATCTGACTTCAGCTTTGCTACTTTTTAGTGTTTGTCAGTTTCTTGTTGCAGATTAAACGTATCAGGAAACCAGCTGAGTGCTTATAAGTGCAAATAAGTCCATTCGTCTCCAATTTATCAATGTTCGTCTTAAATCTCTCTCTTTGGCGTTTCGTTAGCTACTAGCTAAGTGAGAATGTTGTCGTTGCTATGGTGACTAGCAGTCTGCGCTGATCTTCAGGGTTAAATGGTGAATTAGCAGTTCTACATTAACTCCATTTATTGTTAATCTGTGTTGAACGATCAGCAGAGCTTTATTTTACTGTAAAGGAGGATTATTTTATTTTTACCTACTAATCTAATTCAGCTGTGGAGCCACAACAGGGCAGTAAAAGAGCCGCATGCGGCTCCAGAGCATCATGTTGCCGACCCCTGATAGAAACTACATCGTAGGGTAGGCCTGCAATGATGACGTACTAAAGTTTTCTTCTGTATGTGTTTGTAGATGGTGAAAGGTGGGAAGGAGCCTAAAGCTGGAGCAGAGCTTGTTCTTGGAGGAACTTCTTACAAAACCAAGGTGGGTCCAAGGGTCTCCTTATTTATTAAAGGATTGAAAGAGCTTTTTTCCTCCAACAGTCCTAATTACCTCTTGTCATCTTTAAAGGTGTGTGATCGCTCCACCTCTCCTCACTGGGGGGAGGCTTTCCACTTCTGCTCCACGATCCCAATGAGGACACTCTAATCATCAAGGTGAGTTGGAGTTTGTTTGGGTACTGTGGACTAAGAACATTGAAGCTGTCATAGCAACCTTCTGTTCTCTCCTCAGCTCTCCAGTGGGTGGGACCAGCCGCTGGGTTCTCTGGTTCTACCGATCAGAGAGCTTCTCTCAAAGCCAGAGCTGCTGCTGGACCAGTGGCAAAGTCTGGACGGCGCTTCACCTGAGAGTCAGATCCTGCTGAGGGCGCAGCTCAAGGTAAAACCCAATAGTGTTTTGGTAGGCGAGCTGTAACTTGGATGTAGCTTGTCTTGTCGCTGTTGCTGCAACTGCAACACTGTAGATGGATGAAGGTCAAGCAAAATAGCCAGGATGACCCCAAAAAAGATGAAAAGATATGTGGACACTTTAGATGCAGTCTCATGAGATTTAAAAAAAAACTAAAATAGTGGCTATCTAAACTGTCAAAACTCTTAGATAATAAACACTTATATATATATATATATGAATGAAGCTGGATTCTTAGATTCTTATTCACTTATTCAGATTCTCCATTCTGCCTTAAATCGTGCAGTGGTTGCATTTAGGTACCGTATAGGTAGAATGGGAATTTTTAAAAGCCAACATCAGCCTTTTTACATATATACCTCAATAAATCCATCCAAAATCCTGAAACACCTTCAGCAATTTCTCTTAATATGAACACAACACTAAACTTTGGCTTGGCGCTGTTTAATGAGCAGCTAACGAGCAGCTCAGCAGAACTATAATCAGCCACTGGAGCTGCTGGAGCTGTTGAACGCGTCTCACTGGCTGGTCTAACGCTGCGTCCCAAACCACACACTTCTATACTTCACCTACTGCACTAATGAGTGCACTTCTGATGCTACTGCACTGTTTAAAGATGGTGTAACACAGTGATAAACATGTTCCTGTCCCAAATGTTTTGGAATGTGTTGCAGGCATTATATTTGGAATGAGTGTATACTTAAAAAAACAATGACGTTCATAAGGTTAAAACATCAAATATTGTGTTTATGTACTGCTCTCAGTTTAAAACTGGGCAGACAGAATGTACCAATCACCTTCGGTTTTTATTAGCAATTTACGTACCGTCCCAACTTTTTTGAAACTGAGGTTGTAGATAAAGAAGTAGATGTTATGCATAATAGTTCAAATTAATACATTATTCTATTTGGGCACCAGATTTTGGCCTCGAAGATGGACAAAAGAGTTGAAAAGCCTACTGAAAAGCCCATCGAGAAGCCCATCGAGAAGCCCATCGAGAAGCCCATTGAGAAGCCCATCGAGAAGCCCATCGAGAAGCCCATTGAGAAGCCCATTGAGAAGCCCACTGAGAAACCTGCACAGAAGCCTGTTGAGAAGCCTATTGAGAAGCCTGTGGAGAAGCCTATTGAGAAGCCTGTGGAGAAGCCTATTGAGAAGCCTGTGGAGAAGCCTATTGAGAAGCCTACAGAAACGCCTGTACAGAAGCCTACTGAGAAGCCTGCTGGTGCAGACAGTTCCATGGGTGGGAGAAGTGAGGCAAGACCAGCACCCAGTCAAGAGATAAAACAGGAGACCAAGCCAACTCCGAGGTAAGACTACTCATTCTTATGCACTGCTGTCGGCATTGACTCTGCTGACATTTGGGAAAGGGATCTTTAAGCTCTGCTGTTTTTTTGTTGTCCACAATAGAAAGTTCTCACATCAGAGCCCACTGATCCTGACCTTTACAAAACAGAATAACAGCAGAGTGAGCTTTAACCCACCAGCCTAAACAGAATTTAATTTGGTCTAATAATGTGTCCCTATGTTTTACCTTTATATTTCAGTGTTTACTACTCTTTTCAGGCCTTTGTTCCCTGTTCTAATCCTCGGCTACACTCAGGGTCACCTTCAGCGTAGTCTGAGTTTAAAGAAGGGTTGATTGATTACTGGAAGCAGAGGGCTGTTTTTACACGGAGTTTCTCAGAAAGATGATGATTAAAATAATGAAGAATAAAATAAGAGTGCAAAAGTCTTATTAGCATAATAAGCATAAGGAGTGCAGGATCATGATTGTTTATGGCTAATTTTGTTTTTTTACAGCCAAATTGTCAGTTTTAGCCTTTATTTTAATCCAAAGCTCACTGTTTGGGGTTTAACAGCAATGTCTTAAACTGCACTATGTAAGATTTGGGGATTTGGAGACCCCTCTGGTGGAAACCTGTAATTGCACACAATATGTGGAAGAACATTCTGTAGCGTGGGTTGTGCTTCTCCCCCCTTCCCCGAGCGGATGAATCTGATGATTGAAAAAGAATTCAAAGAGAATTCAGTCTAAACTTGGTGAAGGAGCGTCTTCTGAGGATGTGAGTGAATTATTTACTATTGTCATCACATCTTCTTCAGTATGATGTTGATTT